TATATTATATTATATTAAAAAAAAAAAAAAAAAAAACCTGATTTTTGAATTTTCAAACTATAAACATGATTTTTGAATTGGTGTAAACTAAACACCTTATTTATGAATTTTTCCCTTATAAAAAAGAGCACGTGCGCGAGGTAGGGTAGTTAGGGCCAATTTCGCAATTTGATTCCCGAACTTTCATAATATACGTTTTGATCCTTTTTTTGTTCCTTTTCAACCATTTTCATTTCTTTTGTATCCGATTGACTCCTGACACTCTCCAAGCATTGATATGTAGCCCGAATAATATTTTGAAAGTATGTGATTTAGTCCCCAACTTTTAGATTTCTTCCATTTTGGCTCATTTTTTGCTCATTTTGCGTAATTCCATCATTTGCATCGAGTTTCTCCTGACAAACGAAATATATACTAAATTAAGCCATAAATTAATCATAATCAATAATAATTAATTAACGATTCAAATAAGTGTACAAAATATACTTATTTCATAAACTACAATACAATAACAAAGTTCAAGAGAACTGCTTGAAATCGTAAAAATACGTTCAATTTCTTAAATTTTCGTCCTAAATATAATATCATGTTGTTTAAGAAATTATATGACATTTTTTTTTCTATTTTGATTTTGTTGTTTGTAGAATTAAGTTTAGAATGCTTAATAAACTCCAAACTGTTGAATTAAAAAATTAAAACATTTGCCTTCTAAAAGGTGTAATTGAATGAGAAACTCACTTATATTACAACAATCTAATCAATTTGTTTGCAATTTGGGAATAGAAGAAAATGTTTCCCCAACCTTTTTGACGTGTGTAGTGTTATTTTGAATTAAAAGCTATTTAATTTGCTAGAAAATCCAATTTAAATGATGTTGTTTGATAATGCTAAGTGTCCGCCATGACATTTCGACTTAAGTGCTCATTTTGCAGTGACTTGTTCCATTTATTTTGACATCTAAGAATTAGATACAAATTTGTGAGTCAATATATGATTTTGATATAAAGCCCGGTTCATGCATGATTATGATAAAATGAGTACAGTATATGTATGATTTTGATACAAGAGGTAAAGTTCATATACCATTTGCATAATTAACTTTTAAATATCATGTAACATTCACAAATTTAAATCCAACTTCACATAACATTCTACTGCCTACAACATGGGAGATTTAGCTTTTGTTTGGTACATATGCATCAAAGTTTATTTTTTTCAAACATTTTCAACTATAAATTATCTCAATAGAATAATTTTACACGTAAGCCCATAATTTTTTCTTACGGATTAACCACACAATCTTCAAACAATTATTATTCTTAAAACTTATTATTAAAAACTCCTTTAAATGTTCATGCCTGGCTAACCCAGAAAAGTAAAAAAGCAGTGCAATGAAAAAAAGCCTCGTGAAAGTAAGTAAAAAAATATAAAAAAGAAAGAGAACAGAAAAATCTAATTGGTTTAGTTGTCATCTAGACTTGCAGCAGTGGTCTTTCATTGCCTTTTCCTCTTATTTTCATATTATATATCTCTTTATTCGTCAATGAATAACATCTTGTCACCCACCCAAGAGACGCTCCGTTTGCCGATTTCCAGCCAATCAGTCTCCCTTACCCTGCCTCGTCATTTTCCTTCTCGCAAATCAACTTTTGGTGCCCGTCATGATCATTTCATGGTCCAATAAGTGAACAAGAAATTTTTTCAATAGTTTACTTTCTCATAGAAGAAATAAGAGATTATTGTTGCTTATTCACTTTGTCTTCGATTCATCTTCTTTTTTTATGTTGTTAGATAGTAAATGATTTGGTTTGTCCACTCTTTAGGGTTTCATTTTTCTCCAACTGTTTGTGGAGCTCTTAATTGATTTTAGGGTTAAGGATTTTGATCTTTACTCATTTGGGCTTGTTGGGATATGGATGAATATAATCAACTAGGTGAAAACGCATCTTCAAGGGGCAGTTTCTTGTATGGGGGTCCAATTCTTGCACCAAGTTCTTCTTTATATGGAAGAACAAACAGTGGATCGAATAATCAGCAAAGCCAGTTGCCAATTAACAATTTTCATCTTCAATCAAGTGATTGTTATGATCAATCTGAAGGGCAAGGTCATACTTCTGTCAAAACTGAAGCTGGGACTTCTCAAATTCATGCTCCCAAGTTTCACTACCCTTCTATAATTAGAGGGCACTACTCGGTTCAAGATCATCGCCCAAGGCAACAAGAAAGTGAGAATTCTAGTGAAGTCGATGCCATTAAAGCCAAGATTATTGCTCATCCTCAGTACTCCAACCTTTTGGAAGCATATATGGATTGTCAAAAGGTAAGCTTTCATCGTTAAGTACAAAAATAGAAAGTAATACGATTCTGAATGAAATCATTCATTATCTGTGTGTACACACTCTCTCTAGGTGGGTGCTCCACCTGAGGTGGTGGCTCGGCTCACGGAGGTTCTCCAAGAGTTTGAGACAAGACAGCGAGCTTCAGCGGCCAGTAGAGATGTGTCAAAAGACCCAGAACTTGACCAATTCATGGTAATAAATTTATTTCCATGATTTATCACTGAGTTTTTGTGCTGATTTGGGATTTGCCTACTGTATTGCTTCGGGATTTGACAGATTTGATCTCTAAATTCTGATCCGTGTATAGGAAGCTTACTATGACATGCTGGTGAAGTACCGAGAGGAGCTCACAAGGCCTTTACAAGAGGCTATGGAATTCATGCGAAGGATTGAAACGCAACTGAACATGCTAACAAGTGCTCCCATTCGGATCTTCAATTCTGGTATTTTCATTTTTCATTTTTCATTTTTGTTACTTCTTAGCGAGAGACAAGGAACCTAATCATCGTCTATGCCTAGCATGAAAAGAAAAAAAAACACTGGAGAATAGTAATTTTGAGTCCCAAAGTCGAGTGTTTTGCAGTGATTGAATGTGGTTGTGCAGTGCAAAACTGATAGTTGAAACTGTCCAGACTTAAAAATTTGAGTATTTTGACCATCCAGTGCCCACCAAAACTGTGTAAAATATATTTGACTGATACATCATTTTCCAATGCTTGTCACAGTAGCCAAAAACCCTAATTACGGGTATATAGTAATAAGATATGATTTGGTTCCATTATACAATAAACAATGATAGAAAATAAGACAAAAATCCATCTTCTTAGAATATATAAACAATGATGAAATCAAACGTTTGCTGTCAGAATTATTATTCTTAATGGAATTTAGTTCCCGTTATCCCACCATCTTCGTCTTGGGCTAGCTTTTTTTATTTTAGGCCTTGTTAACATAGGATGCTGTTCATATCAGTGCTACCCCATGTAGCCTGTACCATTTTGTCAGAATTTGTGTTCATATATATATTCCGTCTTTTCATTGCTACACCATTCACCCTCTCCCCAAACCCATTTCACATATTTTCAAATCAAAATGAAGCCACAAACATAAAGACTAATTTTACTACTAATTGTGTTTCACTTTCCTTTTGCATTCAAAGTTCAAAATTTATTAAACAAGTCTTAAATCTAGATATTCCAAAAACTCACTTAGCCCATGTTTGGTGGCTATTTTTTTTTTTTTGGAAAAAACATTATTTTGAATAGTGAATTTTTGGTGTATACGTGGTTAGAAAGTAGAAAAAAGTTTTTATTTTACGTGTAAAATATATTATTGCGCGAATGTGTGGTTGGAAATGAGAATGTAAAAAAAAGAGTTTTGAGAAAATGGAAGATGAATAGGGCTTTAATATTTTGTTCTTATTCCCACTAAACCTATACCCATCTACAAACAGCTATAAATAATTAAAACATGCAATTTTATATGGAGTTTCATTCATTCTTTCTCTATTTCTCTTTCTCAATACCAATTTGACGTCATTGAGCATACTAATTTGAACATGTTCATCCAATTATGGGCAATCATGTTTATTATCTTGGACCAATCTAGTGGAACAACTTCTTGCTACATTTGAGCGAGAATTTTAAAAAAAGTTTAATTTACATCTCTAGTTTTACTATTTTTGATCAAAGTGTTTTGGCATGCTAGGTCTCATACTCTTTTATCATGTTCTACAGTCAAGGTTTAACATTTTGTCAATACTTGATGAAATGTGGTATGAAAATGTTCACTCACAAATAGTCGAACTTGATAAACACGTTCAATTAATATGTTAAATTGGTAGATTCAACAACATCTTCTAAGCTTCAGCCTAACCACAATCTTCCCTTGTTGCCACTGTACTAGGATTGAACATGTTCAAAGTGATGCTTTCAACGTTTGCTTTCATGCATAACCCAACTACCATTTCCATTGTTGCTACTATCTATCTCCATAAGGCCCACCTCATCTCCCAAGCATTTGCAGTAGAAACATTGATCTACAAAGACCTGTCAATTCTTGTCATTGACTCTCTCTATTTACCACCCAAACGCACTAACATTAAAACCTTATGAATATTGTGGGAATATTTTATTAGCTGGTGTGGGATATTAATTAATTTATATGTGATCTTTAGCCCCTTATATCTGAAGTTGAGCTAGCAGGTTAAATAAAAATATAATTAGAAGTGAGGGAAGGTCGACAACTATTCGACCAATGAGAGCTGGAGTATAGAGTAGCTAAGGAGGCTAAAACTGTGAGACTCGAACTTCGATTTTTAGAAAATATAGACTAAAGGTTCAATGCATGAACTTTTCTTTTATGTGAATTCTTCCCAAATCTTTGTGCTTTGTTACAAATTATTTTCAGTTTTGCATTTTCGTAAATATCATGGTCTGTATTTCCGGAGAAAATACATTAATGTCAACCTATTACACTTTTCTTTCCGTGACATGCATTGATACAAATGGAATAATCCATTTGTATGATAATAATTTGTTGGTCAATTATCGACATGAAATAATTGTAAACACATTTGATCATGTCTTGCTTTGGGGTCTCTACTGATAGACCTTCAGCTCGGTGTCAATAGTAATGCCATCATATATTTTGTCACGGATAACAAAATCTGTATTTTGTTAGAGAAAATAATTCAAATATAGTTTTACCAATTGGATTTTGAAGTCACAAATATGTCTATGATGATAGAATTATTTTTACATTAATATTTCAAATTATTTTTAGTTTGCATAATATATGTAAATAGAATACTAAGTAAAAAGTATGCAAAAAATAAAATAAAAATGGAAGTTTAAATTATCAAATTATTTACAAGTTTTTACACAAAAAAAAGAAAATATAAGTCAATTGGTCAAATAAGTAGAAAATCTAAGACATGATCATAAGTGGGCCTGAAGGAGTTGCTGATGGATTTGACATAGAATTTACCTCCATTTGTTCCTTCAAGTTTAAACTTACGAATGTTAATGGGATATTAGCATTCATTAAGTTTTTGGAAGAGTTGGAGCACATGACTATTAGGAGCATCACATGTTACATTCTTATTTCTACAGATAGAAAGAATGAAAGATAAGCTATCTAGTTTTCATTTAATTATAAGTCCACCATTCTGTTCTCATCCTCCATCTTAGTTAGGGACTTTTTTGCAGTTTCGATAATGAACTATTCAACATTTTTTTTTTGGTTAAAGAAAAAATGTTGAAGATAATATTTTGTGTGTGTTTGGTAGGGATTTTTTTGGGGAAGAATTGATTTTGAATAGTGATATGATGGGAAATGTGTGGTTGAAAAAGAAGATAAGATTATTGATGTGATAGAAAATATTATTTTATTGAAGAATGTGTGGTTAAAAATGAGATTTTGAGGAAAGAATTGATTTTGAATAATGATATGATGGGAAATGTGTGGTTGAAAAAGAAGAAAAAATTATTGATGTGATGGAAAATATTATTTTATTGAAGAATGTGTAGTTGAAAATAAGAATTGATTTACTGTTGAAAATGAGAATTTTTACCAAACATATCATATATTAGGAAATTCACGAGAAATAGAATATGACATTTATTTATTCTCTCTAGTGATTTGATAGTTTGCTGTTTAGTGAAATGAATGCTTCCTAATGTGTTCTCCACATAGTAACATTAAAGGAAAAGAAAAATCTCACAAGGTAATTGTTGTTTATTAAAATTCAGTCACTCTCTCTTGGCTAGATGCAATCTTGACAGTAGCTAAACTGCTAGAGCCTAGAAGAAGCAATTTTAATATGAAAAACAACCCTCCCTTTGCAAATTTTCAATCAAAGTATCAAGATATGTAAATATTCCAGAGAGGATTGTGTTAAATTTATTTCATTGTTTTTAGTAAATAAAGGTTGTCCACAAAAAAGTGAAGTGCACATGAACTGATTCCGGACATAATCAGCTCAACAGATGTTATAGAAACATCAGAAGTTTAGAAGAAGGTCGGTCTGATACACTTTGGCATGATCGCCTCCCTGCTAGGCAAGTGCTTCCGCACAGCCAGTATTTTGCATAACCTTGCTATTGCTGTTTCCCCAGTTGTTCCATTAGCTGTCTACAATCAAATATAAGCTTAAATAGATAAAATAAAATTGTGTAGGGAAAATAAATGCTAGTATTTTGATTTGCAGTGCTATATATTTTTAAACTGTTGCCTGTCTGTTTATCACATACTTTCCAATAACTTGTCCATATATTTCATCTCTTGTTTATATTGGAATCAATGGATAAAACAGAGGAGAAGTGTGAGGGTGTTGGTTCATCCGAAGAAGATCAAGACAATAGTGGTGGAGAAACAGAACTTCCTGAGATTGATCCACGTGCTGAAGACCGTGAACTGAAGAACCACTTATTGAGAAAATATAGTGGATATTTAAGTAGTTTAAAGCAAGAACTTTCCAAGAAAAAGAAGAAAGGAAAACTGCCCAAAGATGCCCGACAGAAGCTCCTTAGCTGGTGGGAATCACACTATAAGTGGCCATACCCATCGGTACTCAAATCATGCTTAAATTTTATGCCTTTTAGGTTCGAATGTCTGAATATTTTCTTTCTTATATGATTTGCGAAATAAACCAAATTATTTGTCTTGCTTCTTTTTGGTCTTATAAATTACACAGGAGTCGGAGAAAGTGGCATTGGCTGAATCAACTGGTTTGGACCAGAAACAGATAAATAACTGGTTCATTAACCAAAGAAAACGGCACTGGAAACCTTCGGAAGACATGCAGTTCATGGTGATGGATGGCCTCCATCCGCAGAATGCAGCCCTCTACATGGAAGGTCATTATATGGGTGAAGGTCCTTACAGGTTGGGGCCATGATGCATGGCCAGGTTATGGAGGGAGTACACGGATTGTGGACTAAGGTTGCATCGGGGTAGTTCTATTTTCAGGCATGGCATGAAAGTTGTACCTCTGCCGTTTGATCCAATTGCAATAATTGGATACCCATCTTTGACAGCCCAAGCTGATATATATTATTGTTACGAGTATCAGTATCACTAAATACTATTTGTGTTCGTTTCTGAACTTGAATGTCCTTTGCTGTCTGATCTGTCGAAGATGTTGGTGCTTTTATTTTTCTGTGTGGCTACGTTATGTATACACTTGACAAGTATATGCAATATGAAGCATTTGTAGTGTATTGAAGGATTGTAATATTCTTCTAGTTCAATTATATATATCATAGAAAAACTCTTTCTTCCTTCTCTTTCTAATTCAAAGATCATCTTCAGAAAGCACTAGTTTGGGACAACCCCGAGGTCATGCGGGAGAGGCACCGTATATAATTTAAGAAATTTTTCGATCTTTTTTTTTTCTTGGAAAGAAAAATATTAAAGGGCGCAAATTTAGAGAGAGAGAGGGAGGGGGGGGGGGGGGGGGGTGGAGAAAAGAAAAAACTAGTTCCAACCCGCAAAAAGTTGGTCTATTTAAAAGTTATACCCTACTCTTTGCAACAAAGAACAAGTCCATCTTGAATGTGATAAAAATTGTTATTTCTAAATTGCAGATTTTTCACAAAATTCTTCCCATGATTCTTTTCAATCCTCATTCGAACTATGATAACATTAAAGGATCTAAGGAAGGTAATGTGCTAATTTAAAATATTGTTATCTGTGAAGTACTATTGAATTTTGATTTTTTTAAGTAACTATTTCAGTCTACAGTTTAGTAAAAAAAGTATTTCTTTTGAAAGATGCTTGCTTATTAGTTTTTGAGTAACTTACAAAATGTAATAAATAACGAACTTTGAAAGGAATGAAGGAGATCACTCAATTTCCAATCTCACTTCTCAAAGAAATGAATGCCGCAATTCGTAATTTCAGGTGGACAGGCTTTATTTACAAAAATGTTGTTCCGACAGAGCTGAAGGTGGTCTAGGCATAAAAAACCTGGCAACTCTTAAACGTGCAATGCTTTACAAATTTACTTGGAAGTTTATGAAAACAGATTCATTTGTACTTTCGTTCTTGTGCCTGCAACGGCCTGGTTTTCCTATATTTCATCCTCTATCTGGCAGTCCATTCGGGGAAAAACATGTCTCTCTCTTAAGGAGACTAGGTGGATCTTCGAGAGCATACAAGTGCGAGATTTTGGCAAGATTTTGCTCGGGGAACCTTAAATTGATTTGCTGAATACTTCTTCAAAGGAAAGTGGTCAAGGAAACACGTTGGTGTCTGATGTTTTCTATAATGGCCAATGGTGCATAGCCTAGAATCCATATTAGGCAAGGAGACATTGCTTTTGCTAATTCGAATGGAAGGTTATACAAAGATTGAAAACAAAATTTACACATCTACAAATCTCGAACCCTATTACAATAGACTATACATAATAACTACTGAACATCAAAGTATCAACGATCGAAAGGCTCAAAAACCAACACCATAGTAATCAAACACAAAACAAGCCCAAATATCCTCAACCCTCACAATCTCATACCAAAGATTGTGCAGCTTCATTTATGAACCAGAAGAGTTCAACGATACCAACAATATCTCAATGTTCTTTCAATAGATTCACAAAGAAAACACAACTCCAGAAACTAATTCGTGGATTCCTCACAGAAGAAGAAGAAGATGAAAGAACAGAGAGAAAGTCGAAGACTCTAGAAAACCCTCAAGACTGAAAAGACGAATGAATGAATAAACCAAGTGAATACTCCAAAATATCTAGTCTTGAGATTGGGCATCCAAATAGATCCAACGGCCAGAGAAGCACACACTCTCTTGGCTGGATTGACTATTGGGCTGAGAAATGAACTGGGCCTTATTTTCAGTTACCAAATGGTTAAGATGTGGTTGGGCCATAAGGCCATTCATCATTGCCTAGTAGGTTGATCACTGGCATCACAGCCCACAATCTCCACCTTGATGCCAGTGGTAAATCAAGCAGCTAATTCTACACTATACTAGTAAAAACATCTTCCAGTGATCACTCTCCAAAGCATCAAGTTCAGAATTGGTACCTACACTCTACAAATCAGCCAGTATTAGTTTTCAACAGTTGCAAGCAAGATTTAAACTTGGCAAGAGGCAATACCTTTGTACCCATATCAGTTGGATTAAATTAAGTTGCAATTTTCTCAAGTAACAAAGCATCTTTAGCAACAATATCTCTTATAAAATGCAACTTAACATCAATATGTTTAGTTCTTTCATGAAAAATTGGGTTTTTGCATAAATGTATAGCACTTTGACTGTCAGAGTATAATGTAACAGGACTAGACAATTCATTAATTTTAGACAGTAAACCTTTCAGCCACAAAGCTTCCTTTATGGCCTCAGTTGCAGCCACATATTCTGCCTTAGTGGTAGACAAAGCGAAAACAGGTTGTAATTGAGATTTCCAACTTATACGTGTTCCACACAAAGTAAACTCATACGAAGTAGTAGATTTTCTATTATCAACTTTATCAGCAAAGTTAGAATCAACAAAACCTTTAAGTACTACACCATCATTGCAAGCAGAGAAACACAATCCTAAATGTGAAGAACCTTTAAAGTACCTTAATAACCATTTTAATGTAGTCTAATGTTCTAAACCATGATTTTAGGCATGAATCTGCTAAGATTACTAATAGCATGAGCCACATTAGGCTTAGTACAAACCATGATATACATCATAGATCCTACAACATTTGCATAAGGGATCTTTTCCATTTGTTTTATATCAGATTCATTTACAAGACATTGGTCTTTACTCAATTTAAAATGGCAAGCAAGAGGTACAGACACAAATTTTGAATTATGCATAGCAAATATAGTTACCAATTTATCAATATATGCAGTTTGTTTCAAAATCAGACTTCTATCATGCATTTTCCTAGTAATTTCCATGCCTAATATCTTCTTAGCATGTCCAAGGTCTTTCATTTCAAATTCAGCATTCAAAGACCTTTTAATTTCATTAATGACATACATATTATGTCCAATTAGAAGCATATCATCCACATATAAGAGTATAAAAGTAACAATAGCATTTTCATTATCTCTTTTAAAATACAAGCAATGGTCAAATTCACTTCTAACAAAACCAACAGAAGAAACATAAGTATCAAACCTTATGTACCATTGTCTTGGTGATTGTTTCAAATCATATAAAGACATTTTAAACAAACATACATGGTCAGATTTTGATTTACCAATATAGCCAGGTGCCTGTTTCATATAAATCACTTCATCAAGATCATCATGTAAAAAAGCAGTCTTTACATCCATTTGTTCAAGTTCAAGATTGTAATCAGTAACAAGAGCCAACATAACTCTAATGGTAGTATATTTAATCACAGGAGAAAAAAATCTCATTATAGTTTAAAACTTCCTTTTGTGTAAAACCTTTTGCCACAAGTCTAGCCTTAAATCTTATAGGCACCTTATCAGTGTTACCCTCCTTAATACTGAAAATCCACATGTAATCAACAATGGATTTGCCTGTAGGTCTAGGAACTAAAATCCAGGTCCCATTCTTAATTAAGAAGTCCATTTCATCATTTATAGCAATCTGTCAGTCCTTAGATTGCTGACTAGAAGTGGCTTATTCATAAGATTTAGGCTCTTTAAAGACTAAATCTTGATAAGAAAGTAAAGCTAAAGTCAGGTAGTCTCTAAACCTTGCATGTTTTCTAATCTCTCTTCTAACTCTATCTCTTGTCAATTGGTAGTCACTACCCTCAACACCTTGCTCTTCCACAACATCCTGAACATCAGTTTCTTCTCTGTCATCATCTAAAACCTCATTTTCAGCCTCTGTTTCAACCTATTCAGAATCAATAGATTGAGAGGGCATGCCAAGCTCTACCTGTAGCTTGGTCCTATCACTTTCCAACCCTTCTAAATGATTTTTAGACACTTTACCTTTCAAACAGGGCATGTTCAGCTCATCAAAAGTAACATCCCTACTAGTGATGATCTTAAAACCACTAGTCTCCCTACTCCACAGCCTGTAACATTTCACCCCATCAGGATAACCCAAGAATCTTAAAACCACTAGACTCTCTCTTCCAAAGCCTATAACCTTAAACCCCATCAGGAGAACCCAAGAAATCACATTTCTGGGCCCTAAGTTCTAATTTACCTAAGTTTTGATAAGAATAGGATGCACATCCAAACACTCTCAAATGTGAGTAATCAGGGACATATCCAGTCCATTGCTCTTCGGGTGTCTTAGCACCTAGAGCACTAGAAGAGGTTCTATTAACAATGTAAGCGGCTGTCATCAAGGCTTCCTCCCATAAGGTTTTGGGCACACCTGACCCAACAATCATGTACCTAACCTTCTCCAATAAAGTCCTATTTATCTTCTCAGCCACTCAATTCTGCTGAGGTGTATAAGTTGCTGTTTTATGTCTCCTAATACCATTCTCAGAACAGAAAAGGTCAAACTCAGCATTGCAAAACTCAAGGCCATTGTCAGTCCTAAGAGTTTTAACTTTCTTCCCAGTTTTGTTTTCTACCAACAATTTCCAGGCTCTAAACTTCCCAAAAGTCTCAGATTTGTGTTTCAATAAATAAATCCAAACCTTCCTAGAATAGTCATCAATCAAGGAAAGAAAATATCTATTTCCTCTTTGAGTGAAAGTGGATGAAGGCCCCCATAAATCAGTGTGTATATATTCAAGGACAGAGGTAGATATGTGCTTACCTTTGTTAAAGTGTAATCTGTACTGTTTTCCTAAGGTACAGTTTTCACAGAAAGGGATTCTAGAAACAGGATCCTTTCCAAAAACACCCATTTTGTAAAGGATATGTAGGCCCTTTTCACCTACATGGGCTAATCTATTGTGCCACTTTTAAGTGGCATCAAGTTTAGTGTTTGAAGACTCAACCATCCCATTAACAACAACACTAGCCCGAGCAACATAAATCTCATTCCTCTGAACACCTTTAAACATCATAAGGGATCATCTCATCACCCTTAATAAACCATTACCCATCTTACCTAGCAAACCTAAATCATCCAAGTTTCCCATTGAAATTAGGTTCCTAGATAATTCAGGAACATAT